AAATTCTGACGTGTTAAAAATGTTTACCATTTAATCTTAGTATAGAGGAAAAAAATCATAATTTAAGCAATGCAAGTGACATGTCGTTTTTCTCAACTGAAATCTTATATTTATGTATATGACTTCTCTCTGTCAAGGCTTTGTAACAAGGGTATTGATTTTTTATTGGCTAACTAGCTTTTTGTTTGCTTTTTACTGTATAGATTTTTGTATGCACTATTACGTTAGTCTAGATAGGCTTAATGTAATATTTAGTTGAATATTGACACTTAGGGCTGTAGTTCTTATCATCTTAGGGATGGTTTTATTGTTTTTTTTTAGAAATATTTTTTTATCACAGACAGAAGGAATACAAATTTACTTTTACATATAGGTTGAAATTTCAGGTATGTTTCTTACTTTATGTATAGTAGTGGCCATAGCAATTTTATAGAGTGTTTCACAGGTATCCCAGCATTACTTATTCCTGTATAAAATAAGTTAGCACATTGCCTATCCCTGTTAAATAAGTCAGCCATGCTCATCCCTATTTAATAAAAGTATTACTTTTATTCCTCTGTCCTCTTACTATGTAATATCTATGTTTTTATACAAGAACCATTTACATTTTTCTTTTAAACAAGATAGTGTGGGCTATTAGTGCTTTGGTTGTCAAAAATTATAAGTTAAACTTTTTATATAAAATATGTTAGTTTTTATAGCATTTGACTTTTTCATTTTCTAACAGGATATTAGGGTTGTCTTTTTTTAGATAATAGACCTTTTTTTTTTATGATATGATTAATTTAGACTTCTGTATGCCATATATTAACCCTTCTGCTTGCTTTTGAATTTTATTTTTTAAAACATTGTTTTTGTTATTTTTTAACTTTTTTGTAATCTTTAGATTTGAGAAGTGCATTCATTTATTTATTTATCCTTCTTTAAAACCATTAGCAAAATGGCCCCAGTAATATGTATGAAGCTATTTCACAACAAGACACATTGCGGGCGGTGCCTGAAAAAATCAAAATCTGGAGAGAAGAACAAAAAAGCAGACTTGAAAAAAAAGGTAAATATTTTTGGTTTGGTGATCTACAAAAATTTGTATGGACCCTTTTTTTTTTCTCTTTCTTAAATGATAACAAGTTTTTAAGATATTCTGCATATTCTCTTTGTATCATATTTCATCTAATTCTGTGTAATACACACCCGATTCATGTCGAGATTGTTTTTTGTTTTTTTTTCTGTGACAGATATTGAGGAGGAAAAACGCAAGCTAGAGTTGAAAGAGAAAGCAAAGAAGGAGTTAGATGATTGGTACAAGCATCATGCAGAACAACTGGAGAAGACCAAAGAAAATAACAGGTACTTATTGGGTGTTTGGGGTTCTCTTGGATAGCTGGACTTTTTTTTTTTTTATCTAAATTTTTTACTTTACAAAAAAAAAAAAAAAGGTCTATCAATCTCAATGATAATAATAATTATAATCTTTATTCTCCTTGTGGGAATTAGTCTTACAATCAGGCCATTGGTAACAAAGAAATATAAAAGTGCAAAGTTTGGTGTACCTCGCTCAACACCTTGCCATAACATGAATTATTGCTTGAAAATTGGTGATGTTTTTGTTTGTTGTTAAAGCTTATATAAACTCACTCTTTCTATCTTGAGTTGAGAATCTGGTACACATTATTTCCCATTCTTGGATCAAGTTGAAACTTTGAACAATTATTCATTGTCGAAATTAACGCATGAATCAATAAAAAAATCTAACCAATTAGTGAATCAGTTAGTCATAATTAATTTATATAAGAAAATGTTATGAGCTTTGTGTGGAGAATTAGCTTGTGCGCTTAAAGTTGTTGTTGTTGTTTGTTTTTTTTGGAAAAGGCTGCACAGATACCTTCTCTAATAGTCCTTCCACCCCCCAATCGGTCCACAAAAGTGATTGGACCATAGTGCACTGAGCATGCTAAAAGCACGAAAGTTGCGCTGAGCAAAAAGAATTTTTAAAATATTTTCAATTGCAGAAATGTATTATTGTTAGTCTATATCTGTTTAAAATTAATTACATGATTGATTCAAAATAATTGAGGCTAGTTTTTTTAGTATAAGCTTTGTTTTTTTAAAAGTGTTTTTCATATTTTACTTATACATACTCTGAATGAATAGTTTCAGTTTTTATCAAATATTTGAAATATTTTGTTTGCTTAGTTTTATTTTCCAGCATTTTGTGTAGCCTCGAGGCATGCACATACACGCCAAATACACATTTTGTTGTCTGTTTCTTTACTATGCTTTTGTTTCACTGCATCCAATGACGCTACCCATGCTCTCTTACTAGGCCTATTCTCGTGAAAACTAGGAATTTTTATTTTATTTTAATAAATAAAAATAATATAGAAAGAAGTTACAATTTGACAGTGTTCAGTTAACAAAATAAGTCGGCTTCAATTGTAATAGATCACAGTCTAACATTTTAACTTCATTATTTTATTATATTATATTTTCTTATTTATAGTCTTGTTTATAATTTCAGTGTGTTAATATCTGGTTGAGGCTTTCACCATGCTTTTGTTGGCTTCATTTATTGTTTTGAATAGCAATGTCCTTATTACATATATAAATAATAAAAACAGCAGTAATAAAATTGAATGAAGAAATGACTAGCAAAAATAAAACACCATTATTGGCAAGCTAAATGCCAAGAGGTTCCTCTTAACTGTTGAACAAAAGACATAGCTGATTTTATAGATCTGAACAAAATAATGTGAACTTTTTAGTTTAAAAAATATTTGTGAAATATTTTTCTGTTTTTTTTTTAAAATACTATTTGATTAAATATGGAATCATAATTTTTTTGCCATCTAAAACAATGAAGCAAGTAATTTCTGACAAAGACATGTATTTATGTTTGTTTAGTATTTACTTTAAACTAGTTTACTCCCTAACACATTCCAGACAGACTTTGTGTCACTTGGTAGGTTGTTTTCCATGTATTCTTGACATCTTCTATCAGCTTTTTTTAACATGTGTCTACTTTTCCAGGAAACATAATGATGTTACTGAGTCACAGGGGTATGAGTTCTTAAGTATACAATTCCATTTAAATAATACAGGAGTTTATATATACATATATATATATATATATATATATAATTCTATTGTGGTGTAGGTGTAGTGGTACATGTTATCTGTTCAGGCACTAGCAGCACAGTCAGAGCCCTTCCTTTTTTTCAACTTCTAAGATACTACTAAACTGCTATTCTTTTTATCCAGTCTCTCTTACATGTAGATTTTAAAGTTTATATTTTTATATATATATACAATTCTATTGTGGTATAGTTTTTTGCTAGATGGACACTTGTTGTTCAGGTCTTCTTATTTCTTCGCTGTTTAGAAAATAGAAAGTTAAACTAATATTAATAAATTATTTGGTAGAAACACTCACATGCTTCTCTGTGTGTTAAAAGTAAATTTATTTATTTCTTTGCTATCACATGCACAATTAGTATTCACATGATGTTTTTAAACTAATTAAGAGATTTGGCGCAGTTTTTGTCAATGAATGTCATGTGAAACTAGAAACTTGATCAGTAAAGAAATTGAATTGAACATGTAGGTTAAGACTGAGCTGAGCACCAAAAATAATATTTATAATATATATTTCACAATGCCAGAGCTTTATCAATATGCTATATGTAGTTAGTATGTTGTTGTTTTATTTTACAGCATTTTTCATATTGCTTTTCAAATATCAAATGTTTAGCTGGTTGTGTCATTTGACCTCTTAAAATTGAAACATTTCATGGGGGAAAGTTGTAGCAAATGTGATGGTCAATTAACAATGTAGAAACTAAATCAATGTTTGGAGTGTGCCTTGTATGTAAAATTGTCTTTTAGTAATGTGATTTCAAATATCAATTGATGTCTGCATGCAGTTGTTGTTGCTTTTTTAGTGTTGTATTAATTGTGTGAGATTTGCTGCAGGCATCAAGAAGAGACATAAGCTTTAAAACTTTCTATTATTACAGTGTTGTTTGTTTGTTTTTGTTTTTTTTGTTTTGTTTCATTTGTTAATATTGAAGCAGTCTTTTTTTATGATGCTAAGCATGGAGACATAGGTGTGGGTCAAAAAAAGATAGCTTTCAAGAAAAATATGTACTTACTAGAATTACTAATTTGGGTTATTTCGTTTAATATTTAATTTATTTCTTCAAAAACAGTTCTTTTATTTGCTTGAGAACTTGTACTAAATTGCCATTTGTATGATTTGTTTGTCCAGTATTAGAAGCTCTGTAGATATGAACTGGTGTTTTTATTATTTAAGTTTTTTTGTTTGTTTTTTCTGGTTTATTACACTTAACTACAGTAGCATGTAATGATACCTGCAAATCTCTATCACCAGCTGTGTGACCATTCACCAAAGTATGATGAGTTCAGAGATTTCTTTTTTTTTTTTTTTTTTTGCTAGAGCCCCTGTAATCTCACACTCATTTTATTACTGTATTAACAAAAACAATGTTTTGAACAGCTAAAGCAATTAACAAAAAAACTATTGCAGTTTATGAATGACAGCAAAGATAGTTGGCTCAGAGTAATATTTTTCTTTCATATGTGTCATTTCTTCTTTTCTCTGGTACAAAACTTTAAATCTCAGTGCTCAGTTTACTAAAAAAAAACTCTTTTCATTTTTTTATCTAAGGGCTGTGGAAAGTGCATTTGTGAAAGACAGGGATGAGAAGATACCAGGCCAGTCGTGGGAAAAAATTACACGCCTTTGTGAGTTCAACCCCAAAAATTCCAAGAACAGTAAAGATGTATCCAGGTTCCGGTCGATTTTACTTCAACTGAAGCAGACACCACTGGTGCGCTAGTCTAGTTAGCCATTCTTCCTGTTCATTCTTTGTTGCTGTAAGGAGAAATATAGCATAGCTCTAAAAGAGGCATTGGGTTATACAAATGAGAAATTGTTTTAAAATATTTTTGAAAATAAGCATAGTGCTGTTACAATTCCCCCCCCCCCCCCCCCCCCCCCTTGCTGTTACAGACAGTTGAAACTAAAAGCTTCAAGTTTCTATCTACATAAATAATTGATGTTCTTATTTAAGCCTGTTTTTTAAGAAAAGTTATTTCAAATATACCCCAATTTGCTGGTGTTCCAAATTAAATAATGTGTGTTTTCTTTAAAATAAAAACCTTTAATAAAACGGTTTGAACAACCTTTTTTCTTTTTAACCACTGCATTTTAATAGTATGCAGTACCATAGCAAAGACAGTGGTAGAGATACTATCATCATTACTTAACTTCAAGATTATCTTTTTTTTTTTCTTTAATTAGTATCTTCCTAGCCCTTTTCTTTAGCCCATTTTCTAGATAACTTTCCATCTTGTTTTCCAGATGTAGAGAGAAAAGTCTTTGTCAAAAAAAAATAATAATTTAACTTTGGCTTTGGTTTAAAGCCTTTTTTTTTTTTTTAAAGTTGTGATATACTCTTGAATGGGTGTATGGAGCCTAACAATGTGAATAACCAATTGACCTTAGCCATTGAAATCAATGTGATTCTAGTAGTTCAGTGTGTGTTCTAGCTGTGTAGATGATTGTGTAGTTCTCTGTCTCTTACAATATACATTTTTATTTTTACAAAATTTTATAACCTACAAAATGTCCAGTCCTATTATTTTAAAAAAGTAGTTGTTTTTTTTTTTAAGAGATCCTTACTAAACCTTGAAAGAGTCAATTGTCAAATTTAAAACATTCCTTCATTACTTGTGGAAACTTGTAGTATCATTCTAAAAAAAAATGTTTGTGTGGTGTTTTTTTTTTTGTTTTTTTTTTTTTAATGAATGATTGAAATGTTTTTAATGCTACGAATGTTTTAAATTATTTTGCTGTTGTCCTAGAGTTTAGTGTAAATAGATTGACATTAAGAAAGTTGTCACACATTTTTTTCTTCACAAAATGATGTCTATGCATCTATAAGGGTCGGCCTTTTTAAATCATCAGTCGTACATAGCTCTACATTTAGTTTGTGTAACAGCCTTAATTAACAAAGATAGAACTTTCTAAATGTTTCATTGATTAGGCTTCTTTGGTCTACCCACTTTGAATGTTGTGTTAATTTATTGTTTCACTATTTCAACATGAGCTTAATGTGAAAGTGTGGATGAATTAAAACAATTACATTTGTAACCTTTGATTGTAATGTCTTTGTTAACATATAAATTGTGGTCAATATCAATGTTTGTTTAACATTAGTAAAAACCATTAAGATCAGCTCTTTTTAATAAACAAGCTTTTCGTTTGGTGATTCCAAAGTCAATTTAAATGAATAAAGGACATAGATTTAAGTTAAAAATTTCAAATGTTAAGTAAAAGAAAAAAAGACATTAAATGAAAGTTGAATTTTTTTTATTTTTTTTTTTGAGGGGTGAATTAGGAGGGAATAAACATTAGCTTTGAAACAATATTTAAGAACTTTGTGGATTTGTTGGTATGCAAGTCCCAATCAAATGGAGGTTTCTTCAGACTTACAGATCAGACTTTTAGTAATCTTTGTCTGAAAAAGTATAGCCTTCTTCTTCAAGCACTGCTAAAGATGGTGCTAGAAATATGTTGTGTCCAAGTCAAATTGTCACAATCTAATTCTAGCACACCATCAGCAAGCATTTTGATGTAAAGTAATTAGATGAAAGTGATACAGCAAATTTCTGTAAGAAACGCTGGTAATGTATGTCATTTCAACACAGTAAATTCACAGTGGTTAGTGATATTCCTAAGAACCAATTAAACTAGGTGATTTAGTTCATTACAAGTAATATAAAATTTTTACATTAAGTTGTAAACTAAACATTCATATTTTTTATTTTGATAATCCGTTTTAGGAAAAGGGGGGAGGGGCACATAAGCAAAAGAACTATTGCTGATAAAAATAAAATATTATTTCTGAGTCTCATAGATGAAGCAATGGGCTTTGATACTAAAGAAACATTTTTATTAATTCAATGATTATGAAGTGATCTTCCTGGAAATTTTAATTCACAAGTTTATAATGAAAAGTTATCCAAATTATTGATTATAATTTCTTTTTATTTTTGACTGTGACAAAAGTTCACGAGAATTGAAAAGTAATAAATCTACTCAATACTTTGTTTTAAACCAATTCTTATAACCTTAGCTGCTGGCCTTCACCTTCTTGTGTAATGCTCTACATGTATGTTGAAACATCTTGAGATCTATACCTGTTTTTAAGAAGAGAGTGATGCAATCGAGGTGTTGCTAATCTGATGCTAGGGTGGCAAATGAATTATGTTAAGCTAAACAATTTCTCTGCTAGTTTTGAAGATTTTCAAGCTTATGAAGCTGATATATACTTGCTTCTGACGACATGGCCTAAATTGTGTGGATATGCCAAAACCCCAAAATACTTGTTTCAGACGACATGGCCTAAATTGTGTGGATGTACCGAAACCCAAAAATACTTGTTCCTGAATCTGTGTGCAGGGCAACGCAATGATTGTTCGTTCCAAGGTGATCAACATGGGACAATGAAAACATTATGCAAGAATAGGCTCTTTCCCTTGCTCTGTAATGCAACAACAAAGAAAACACACTATCGTGTCTGGTTTTACAGCTGACTCTACCAACCCTACACAAAAATACCCCCCCCCCCCCTTTTCCACTAAAAGTCACAATAAAATGAAATGTCTCAAAATTTTATAACAAAAATTTACTTTATGCAGACCTTTTTAAAAAAAAATTACTAGTACTGTACAGAAATTATAGTTGTATGTAGCCTACCACAACTAAATATTTTAAAAAATCAATAACGTGCTGTCCTACTTGTACTTAGTATACTTATATGCAGATCTGCAGAGTCAGTGACTTCACAAGAGCATGCCCAGACTTTGGTCTTACTATTAACACAAAAAAGACTTAAGTCTTATAATTTGCCTGCTCCTGGGAAAGCCTACTCGGATGAGAGCATCGAATAAATGGACAGGATATAAACGCAGTGGACAAATTCACATATCTTGGCAGCACACTCTCCAGAAACGGAAAGATCGATAATTAAATCGACCTACGCATCGCTAAGGCCTGTCTAAAAATGTCTGGAACAGACGAGGTATCGCCACAAATACAAAGCTAGGGATCTTTTGAGCTGTCATCCTCCCTACATTTCTCTATGCCTCAGAAACGTGGACAGTGTACAGAAAACATGCAGATAAACTGAACCACTTCCCCATGACATGTCTAAGAAAAATACTGAATGTCAAATGGCAAGAAAAAAATACCAGATATTGAAGTCCTTCCAAGAGCTGGTCTGCAAATCAACATACAATCCTAATGCACTCCCAGCTGCGATGGGCAGGACACGTCTGCAGAATGGAAGACCGCCGCATCCCTAAACGACTCATGTATGGCCAATTAAGTGAAGGAAAGCGCTCGCAATGGGGTCAAAGAAAACGCTTCAGGGACACCCTCAAAGCTTCTGAAGGCGTTCAATATAGACCCAGTCACCTGGGAGTCAGGGGCACATGACAGAGCATCATGGCGTCGCGCTGTGAAAACTGGCGCACAGGTTGCTGAGGAAAAAAGAACAACGCTGGCAGAAGAAAAGCAAGACCAATGACAGTAGCTCCGCTGCATGGGCGTAGCCAGGATTTTTTTCGGGGGGGGGGGGGATTTTTTTTCTCCCCCCCCCCCCTCGCGAAAAAAATATATCTATATGTATGTATGTGTGTGTGTGTATATAATCTTTATTACATTCTGACCCATCATTCTTTGGAAAGACGCTTATTGTGCCCTAGAATAGGTTCTTCCTGGAGTTAGTGGGAAAATTGTAGACTCCCCGCTATCGCTAACAAAGGGGTCTGGGGGAGCGCTAGGAGCTCCCCCAGCGCGGGGCGGAGCCCCGCCGCCAAGCACTACTTCTGATATTGAAAGCCAACAAAAGGCATATTCTGAGGTATCTACAGTACGTTTTCCTGCTATTAAAAAGTTTTATTTCAAAAAAATAATGTGCTATTCTTACTGACTTAGACCCTCCCGCGCCGTTCGGCGCACTCGCCGTCAAGCTGTCACTGGTAATGTCTGAGGCCTCTTCCCACCTGCTTTGAGGACCTCCATGAATGTGTGGTGCCAATTTGTACTAGGATGTCATCGCAACTCTTCTTATGCCTAATTCATTTTGTCTTAGAACATGTCCCGTAAACCTCACAATCTTACTAAAGGGTCGACTTGATTTATACCCGATCTCTATAACTGACTCCTAAAATCTGTCTTAGCCATCTTTGTTGAGCCACATTGAGTTTGTTTTTTTTTTATTTCAGCAGATGACTGTTCACTGCACTTTATTAAATGAGCCCCGCCACTGGTATAAATGTGTAACCTCTCTTGATTACGCTCTTGAAATTAAGTGACTGTAGTTTGCTTTAGGTTTTATATATCGAAAAGGGAAGTTTTATCGTCAAAGCCCTTAACCACCTGGATGACAAAAGTGGTCATCATCGAACCACGATGGACGAACTATAGTGTATATCAGCGATGCACAAAATACGCCCGCGGGCCAGATCCGGCCCGCGACGTGGTCCCATCCGGCCCGCCGAAACGTCGGCACAAAGTGAAGAAAATACCCCGCCAAAAAAAAATATGGTTGAAAAATGTAATTTTACCTACTTTAGGGCTCTCATATTTTTCTGAATGGATTGGTACCATGACCTTTAACGTTTGTGCGTTTATGAACAGGGAATATGAATGTAGAATCTACCAGGAAAAGTGGGTGGATCTTTACTTTTTTGTGAACATATTATGACAATAAGCCGACATCTTTGTTTTCTAAAGAAAGTGTTGACTGTTTAAAAAAAAAAAACATAGACATCGACATTATAAAATAAATATGGGGCATCCTTGGTTTGAACTACGATTAAAATATTGATGAACTACAACTAGACATTGGAGGATTGATGGGGATATGCCCCAAAAAGAAACAAGAAAATGTGTCGGTTTTAAAGGCACCCACTGTTGCTAACATTTTAAGTAGAGAAATGAAGCTATTTTTCTGACGCTTAAAAAATTATAATCGTCATACATCACGTGAATGTAGTACTAAATCTAGGGGATTCTGGTAAATAATTTTAGAACAGTTTCATTTAATTTTTGTAATTTTTTGGTCATGTGGCCCGCGAAACGAGTGTTGGAAAATTAAATGGCCCCGCAGGTCGAATTAGGTTGAGCATCACTGGTGTATATAAATAGATATTTAAGCATTGTCTTCAATTTCATAGATTAATGATGAGTGCAGTATATCACATGACCACAAAACTCAGTTGCAACTTGCATATTTTGCCACATCTAACGCAGACTTGGCCATTGTCTGTGGGAGTTCTGCTTGTCTTACCATAGGCATTTAAGACTATTGTTCCACATTTCATATCAAATGTGTGTGTTGCCTGCAATAAGGTCTTTAAAAATTTTATGGCCCACCCTTGCTATGAACATTATAAGTGTAGTATTAGTTCTGAAATGAGCATGAACGGAAACAAAAATGTCCTTAACATGGAAACTAAAATTATAATTGAACTGTAATTGAAAAAGGAAGGTTAAAAGGGAATGAGTTGAAAATGTATTTAGCTCTAGTTAAAAATATAACTTGCTTTGTTTGAAATATAGAGAAGTAATAAAGTAGTCCACCCAACTGTAATCGGTGCCTGACTTTAGTTTGAAAATGTAAAGGCAGTTGGTCATTGTACTACACACATGACTCCCTCGGTAACCATTGGCCAAAGATATAGATGACCTTAACATCATCTGCCCTATAGATCGCAAGGTCTGAAAGAGGAACTTTTAGTTTATAAATAGACTATTTCTCTCCATTCCTCTCGCCTTTTGAGAGGATTAGTCTCTCACTGACAGGCCTGGGAGGTCTTCCACTCCATACATTCATTCTTTTCTCTTCCTCTCTCCTTTTCCCTGGAAATGTTCCGTGCAGAAAGGTCTTTGTAAGCCCTGCTTGTCTTTTTAGGTCTCAACAAAAAAAACTTAAATTATTTAGTAAAAAGGATCATTGCAATATTTCCTAGCAAGAATCTCTAATTATAGAACATTTTAATTTCAAGTATTTTGACTACAATTATAGCAGTTTTTCAAGGTACATTTATCTCACAATCAAGATGAAGCTGCAGTAAACTAGACAGCAGATACCTATCAGTTGATCATAATTATTCAGATATCTTTTGGGGATGAACCTCTACACATTGCCTACTACCCAGAATAAAGAACTTGTGGGCGGTAACTGTTTAATTAGGTACTGCTTTCTTAACGCACATGCCTTGAAACGGTCAACTCATGCTGGTGACATAACTAAACTTTAGTATGCCTAGAGTCACAGATAAGTTGTGTTCCCCCACCACAGCTAACAATGATGTAAGAGATTTCTACTGGGCCATCAGTCTCAACAGATTAAAATGACTTTCAGAGCAAGTTCCTCATTAGCATAACCTCATCTTAAGTGTACCTGCTGATATGGTTAAATGTATCAGTACCTCCTCTAGTTTACACTGCTGACTCTTAGTGAAGGTTTGAATCAGTTTTAATTACATGTAGATCTAAATGGTGTAAATGATAGGCTGACAATTTAATATTTAATGGAATATTTAAAAATGAAACATGAAATTTTACTTCAAGTATTTCGTATGTAGCTCCAACCTCAATAGTAAGAATTATGTTGAAATAACTAAGTAATTGGTTTATATAATCACAAATAGATATCACAAAAACAAAGTAATAATTAAAAAAAAATAATTATAACTTATAACTTTATTTCTCCTAATAACAAAATGTAAAAAGTTGCAAAATTTTGTATAATAAACACTGGTACATCAAAATCAATGTCCTGATCTATTGAAATATTTGGAATGATAAATAAATGCCAACTTAAACTGCCAAAATATAGGACAATTCAACTTAAATCTACATTTGACCAGTAAATACACAAATGAATCAATATTCAATTCATTTTTTTCCCCCGAAGTTTTTAAAGCAAATTGTTTAACAATCAGCAAAAACAAAAACTAGTTCTTAACAGTTTCAGTTTGTCCAAAAACGGAGAACAAGTTATGGTTCACATCTAGACTTCGGTCTCAGTTTAGTATTCTTCTCCCTCCTCTTCCCCCTCGCCTTCAACAGAGTCGACACCCACTTCCTCGTAGTCCTTCTCAAGGGCAGCCAAGTCTTCACGAGCCTCAGAGAACTCACCTTCCTCCATACCCTCACCCACATACCTGGAGACAAAAGATAGTTACGTTTAAAAAATTATAAGCTTAGCTGTCATATTTCAAGCTCTGATTAAAGAAATGCTTAAAGATATTCAAATTTAAAAAATCAAAATATTTTCTATAGGGTTTTGATATAAGACAAATCTTTACAAGAAGTTTTATTTCTTACAAAGTGCTAAATACTCACCAGTGGACGAAAGCACGCTTGGCATACATTAGGTCAAACTTGTGATCAAGTCTAGCCCAGGCCTCAGCAATAGCTGTGGTGTTGCTCAACATGCAGACAGCACGCTGGACTTTAGCCAAGTCACCTCCAGGGACAACAGTTGGTGGTTGGTAGTTGATTCCAACCTTAAAAATATATTACAATTAAATCCACTTCGAAAAGAAAAAAATTGTTCATAAAATATGTCCCACATTAGTAATAATTGATTAAAAGCTCCCTACCTTAAAACCAGTTGGACACCAGTCAACAAATTGGATGGTTCTCTTGGTCTTGATGGTGGCAATGGCAGCATTGACGTCCTTGGGGACAACATCACCTCTGTACAACATACAGCAGGCCATGTACTTGCCATGACGTGGGTCACATTTCACCATCTGATTGGCTGGCTCAAAGCATGCATTAGTGATCTCAGCAACAGACAGTTGTTCATGGTAGGCCTGCAAACAAACATATTGGTTACTACACAAGGTTTTGACCAAGTATAAAAATACCTTGCACTAAAAAAGTAAAAATGCAAAATGTTTATATGAATCAGCATGTTACCTTTTCAGCAGAGATGACTGGAGCATATGTTGCCAGTGGGAAGTGGATACGAGGGTATGGCACCAAGTTGGTCTGGAACTCTGTCAAATCAACATTCAGAGCACCATCAAATCTGAAAAAGTCAAATTTGTTGAGCAAAACAATGGGTTTAAATTGTATTTACACTTAAAGAAATCCTAACAATTTATTTCATAGGTCAAAGAAAAGTTAAGTACCTGAGAGAGGCTGTAATTGACGATACAATTTGACCAATCAGACGGTTCAGGTTGGTGTATGTGGGTCTCTCAATGTCGAGGTTACGTCTGCAAATGTCATAGATGGCTTCGTTGTCAACCATGAAGGCACAGTCTGAGTGCTCAAGGGTGGTGTGTGTGGTCAAAATGGAGTTGTAGGGCTCAACAACAGCTGTGGAGATCTGAGGGGCTGGGTAGATGGCAAACTCCAGCTTGGATTTCTTACCATAATCAACAGACAGACGTTCCATGAGGAGTGAGGCAAAGCCAGATCCGGTGCCACCACCAAAACTAAGAAAATTTTTTAAAAAATATATATATTACTGATTGTTCAACTTTATTTACTTGTGCATGTATAAATGAAACTGGTTTCAATGAATCATGTTAAACATACAGTTCTAGCATTCAAATCTGAACCAATAAATAGAAAAATTTATTGATTTAAGTGCAATTGTTACAAACTCCCTTAAGAGACCTGCTAAAGGAGGCATAGGTGGCCAAGAAAACAATACTGCATTACATTTTATGTAAGCTTTGTTTACAATGATAGTGATGTAAATAAGAAACGATTTTATTTAACCCTTAAAGTGCTGAGCTGTTTTACAAAGTGTGTACACAAAATGGAATTACAATTCTTATGTTTAGAGCCTAAAACTACCACACGCATTTTAAGGGTTAATAAAAACTATTAATTTTGGGCTCAAATTTGGCAAATCCCTTTTTTCACTTTCTTAGTGCATAGAATGGCTATAATAGAAAACACTGTCTATTTATTAAGTCTAAGTTAACTCTGTATTGTTAGGTTATACACTATTGCCATTTTCCTCTGCTCAAACACTAGCAAATCTAGACTAGATTTGTTTACTTAGTTGTTTTTTCTTAACAGCTTTAAACTTTAGAAAGAAATCTGCCATAAAGATTGCTCAATGCTGTAGAAGTGAAGTACCTGTGGAAAATGAGAAACCCTTGAAGGCCAGTGCACTGGTCAGCAAGCTTTCTGATACGGTCAAGGACAAGGTCAACAATTTCTTTGCCAATAGTGTAGTGACCTCTGGCATAATTGTTGGCTGCATCTTCTTTACCAGTGATTAGCTGCTCAGGATGGAAAAGTTGACGGTAGGTACCAGTTCTCACTTCATCTGTTAAGATAAAAATAAGCCATATTAGAATATATACAGGGTGTTTGAATTGAATAATCTATTTATGTAGCGCTACTTTTAAAAAAGTCCTTAGAATCTATTTTAAAAAATAAAATACCTACCTACTACAGTGGGTTCTAAATCAACAAAGACGGCTCTTGGTACATGTTTGCCAGCACCAGTTTCACTGAAGAAGGTGTTAAAGGAATCGTCACCACCTCCAATGGTCTTGTCTGATGGCATCTGACCATCTGGCTGAATGCCGTGCTCCAAACAGTAGAGTTCCCAGCAGGCATTGCCAATTTGGACTCCAGCTTGACCAACATGGACGGAAATACACTCACGCTATGGAAAAAAAAAATTCTGTTAAATATACAATCACAAATTTAGATGTAGATTCTAACCATACACTAAAACAAAGACTGCAATTAACATAGATCGTCTAAGACTTCTTCTTGAACAACATAAAAAATCTAGCTCATCAAGTCAAGAGCTAGGTGCCAATTTCCAGAGATACAAATTTTCTTTGTGACAACATTATCCAATGTCAAGACCAATGTGAATGATAAACTGGCTTGTGCATGGGTTATGGCTATGGGTAACTTGTTAGTCTTGTTCTAGATCTAGACTCAATGAAACATATTTATACAATTCTCTGTCTCAGTTAGTGCCTACTCAAGCCTACTGGTCCAACCTTGATCAAAATCTTGATCTAGATATCTAGACACTAGTCTAGTTTGAATTTTCAATTATGATCTGACTAGAATCTAGATCTAGATTATGTTCACACTAGTGTACTGGTGTGATTAATGTAAATTATAGATAATCAATAATCTAGAATCTATATAGATCTAGATCTAAAATCTAGTGATCTAGGTCTAGTTACTCTAGTAGATCTAGATTATATTTACTTATATACTAGGAGGCCAATACAAGCACTACAAAAACTCTCAAGAACTCCAAGGAATGCGATATCGACATTCACGGCTAGGATTACTAGGAAGCACTAGCTCTCGATCGCTCCTCAGCGTGAAGCTGTGAGTCTCAAGATTTGAAGCAAGAAGAGTGGCCAGGGCAAAAGAGCGCAGAACGAACAAAAAGCTGAGAGAAGAAGCAGGCCTATCTGAAACTGACCTAACCCACCCATACCACATAATGACATATGCAGTCGGTTTTTTAAAGCGAGGATTGGACTTTACAGATATCTTTGAGTCCTTAGGAAATGTGCTCATCTTTGACCACGAAGGAGGAGCTATATAAATATACTATGTATTAATGTATCTATCTTACTACATTATTCTAAACTCTAGACTGTATCTCTGTAGATCTATTAAATTGGTTTATATATCTAAAGTTAAAGTATCTAGAGTCAAGATCTAATCTAGATTCTTATTATTAGGCCTAGAATCTATATAATTAGTAGATTCTATAGTTGTCATGTGAGAGTCACAGCACTGGAGTCTGGAGCATACCAGTGAAACCACTCCCTGTGCCTGTCATAATAAATCAATAAATAAAATCAATAGAGTGAGTCCTCAGGAGGCTCATTTAGTAGTCATAGATCTATAAATATCTATATAGTTAAAATAGAATGTAGATCTAAGACTCTAGATCTAGTGGGTGAGTAGACTACTACTCCTACTCACTGACTAGAGAGTAGAGTAGTGTCACTAGTCTAGAGAGGCCATTGGCCTTGGCGAAATCTAGACTACTAGACTCTAATCTAATTACTATGCCAGTTACTATGGTTTACTAGATCTAGTTACCTAGTAACTTACTAGATATGCCTATCTTATTATCTAATCTAGAATCTATATAGTAGTATATAGTCTAGAATCTAGCTTAGCAGCTAGTTGAGCTAGGCATGATCAAGCCCAGGCGGATGGCGACACTGAGTGAGTCAGTGGGTGTGATGAGGACTGATGAATAATTATAATAAGAATGGCGGTAAGTTATAATCATGATAAGGGATTTACCAAAGACTTGAATTGATTTAGAATCTAAGGCTTTTATAATTAGATACTTCAATTCTTGGCTAGCTCAACTTACCATTTTAATATAATGTAAATTGTTGAGACACGAGAAAAATAAATAGGCTGGATAGTGAAAAAATCCCTCTACGCACGACGTAATGTGTCGAACAGAGCGGCTTGCACTTATAAATTTAATTTTGAGCTCGAGCTTATATATGGTGTCGAAGTGCATGCTGGGTGTTGTCATGGCATCGTCTATCAACAAATAGGAAGCGTAGATCTAAACCAGTGCTTCTCAAACCTCTTATCTAATCTGCCTTGCCTTCTAAAGTCTAGAGTAGACATTTTTTAAAATCTTATTGTACCACGTGTCTTCTTTAGGAATATTCCATTCAATAGAACAACACACACAATACCAGTGGTAGAAATGAGTATGCCTTAGCATTAGCCTTAAGCCAGTGATTCTCAAATTGGCCTATATAGACCCCAGGGGTCTACTGTCTACGACGACTTCCAAAGGGTGTACGAGAGTGAAAAAATGAATGGGAGGGTATGAGATGTAAATGGGGGTGTACGATAGTGGATCTCATCTAAGCAGGACGTTGAGTCTTAAATTGTATTTCCTAATAATGGAATTAACTCATACACACACATGATTTGTATCTTAGTTAATCCTTTGAATTTCAACTCTGACATTTAAATGAATTTGTAAATGTTAACATTTAATTTAAATATCTTAATTATGTCTTTGTGAAATATATGGCCAAATCCAAAAAGAAATATAGAATTCTATTGTCATTTCAGCTAAGGTTTGAGGACACTCTGAATACGGCAATACTTC